AGATTATCCTAGCGATCGCTGCATATTACGATTACGAAATATGGCAAATGGATGTCAAAACCGCCTTCCTTAATGGGATTTTGGAAGAAACTGTGTATATGACACAGCCAGAGGGTTTTGTCGATCCAGGCAACGCTGGAAAGGTTTGCAAGCTGAAGAATCCATTTATGGACTAAAGCAAGCCAGCAGGAGTTGGAATCTGCAATTTGATGAAGCCATCAGCAAGTTTGGTTTTATCAAGAATCCAGATGAGTCTTGTGTATACAAGAAGGTCAGTGGGAGTGATATTGCATTCCTAGTCCTGTATGTAGATGACATACTGCTCATTGGAAACAGCACAAAATTGTTGGAGTCCGTAAAGGGCTGGTTGGGAAAGTTCTTTTCAATGAAGGACTTAGGAGAGGCACAGTACATATTAGGCATCAAGATCTACAGGGATAGATCTAAGAGGATGATTGGATTAAGCCAGAGTACTTACATTAATAAGGTACTGGCTCGATTCAACATGGAAAATGCCAAAAGAGGGCATTTACCCATGTCCCATGGCATAACTCTCAGCAAGAAACAGTGTCCAAAGACACCTGTTGAGCTAGAAAGAATGAATCAGATCCCATATGCTTCTCTAATCGGATCGATCATGTATGCCATGATATGTACAAGGCCGGATGTATCGTATGCCCTGAGTGCAACGAGACGATACCAATCGAACCCAGGAGAGGCATATTGGACTGCGGCCAAAAACATCCTTAAGTACCTGAAAAGGAACAAGGATATATTCCTGGTGTATGGAGGCCACAAAGAACTGGTTGTTGAAGGTTACACCGACGCTAGCTTCAAGACTGACAGAGACGACTTCAAGTCGCAGTCGGGGTATATATTCTGTCTGAATGGAGGAGCGTTCAGCTGGAAGAGTGCCAAGCAGAGCACCACTGCAGACTCTACAACTGAAGTCGAGTACTTGGCCGCTTCGGAAGCTGCCAAGGAAGCTGTTTGGATTCGCAAGTTCATCAGTGAACTTGGTGTTGTACCCTCAATCAAGGGACCGATAGACCTTTATTGTGATAATAATGGAGCTATCGCTCAGGCCAGGGAGCCGAGAGAACACCAGAAGGTCAAACACGTGCAACGGCGATTTCACATGATAAGGGAATGGAAATCCGAAGGTGAAATCAGAATTTGTAAGATCGGCACGGATGATAATGTGGCCGATCCTTTGACTAAACCTTTGCCTCAAGTGAAACACAACAAACACGTTGAGGCAATGGGAATCAAGCACATAGGAGATTGGCTTTGATATTCCCTGTACAAGTGTTTTAATTAAACAGGGTTGATTTAATGTAAGACACTTTACTAAAACCATTCATTAATGGAGTAATTAATTTTTGTGCAAAATTATCATTCACTCCATTACTATTTAATTATGGTTTAGAATTAAATAATGAGTCCATTCGATTTACGGAAATATTCAAAACAGGGTATCAAGACCATGTCTTGGATAAAGAAACACTTGTTAAATGAACATTGAATATTAAATCGAAAAGTATCCCTAATCGAGGTCATCTAACAGATGGACGATTGATGACCGCAATAGATTAGTGTGTAGTATGATTTACAGCACCGTTTCTTGTGCTGCGAGGACGTGACAGTCATAAATCATTTGCACAGGTACAGTTTAGAACTGTACTGGATAAGACCTATGAGAGTACTTTAAGAAAATTTAAATTTTGTCATAACTACATTTCTCATTATGGCTATCGGAACTTATTTCCTCAGACCATGAGTACTGTGAAGTTTTCTTATTTGAGTACTAGGCTCTTTGATGTTTCCAAACGTCTGCCATTACTGGGGATCATAACGGGAACACTCGGGAGTTTATGTCCTCTTAGTAAGAAGAACTTACAATACAAGACTGGGATTGTCCCCCTACTAACAATAGGGAAAATGTTTTGTTGTTTAAAAGGCCGCTCGAAGAGTGAGACTGTAAAATGCATGGCCATGCTCAGATGGATTTTAGAAATCATCTGCTTATTGACAGTCGAACTCGGAGATCGAGAAACACTTCTGAACGTAAAAAGGATGACAAAGAATCTTACCTTATAGTTCACGAAGAAACATTAAGTGACAAAGGAAATGAGCTATACACAATATGCACACTTGTCCGGAAGGACAAGTGGGAGATTGAAAGGAATGGTGTCCTTCCAACAAGTGTATTATTCCGGTAGAGGGTTCAGAATTATTACAGAGCTAATTCTTCAGTAAGGTCAAGTGATCGGAATGCCTAGGTGGAGGCCGCTTCCGATCAGTAATATCAGGGTACAATTGATATTACAGCTTAATCTTAACTGAACCCTTCGGGTCGAACCCAATCGAATCTCCGATCCGAGACGTCGAATTAATCCGAAAGGATCTAATGAGTCGACAGAGTTTTACGAATACAGACGTCGGAAATCGAGCCTAGGGCGTCGATATCGAGCGTCGCAAAATTACAATCGACAAGTATGAGCGTAGCCATAGCTAGGCTAGGCTAGCTCATTGCAAACCTAGGTGCACCATGTGTGTGCTAGGTGCACCATGGTGTGCTAGGCACCATCGCAGCCTAGGCGCACCCTGGCAGCCCATCGCAAGCTAGCATGGGTGCCTAGGTGCGCATGGCAGCCATCGCAAGCCACAGGCAGCCCATAGCAGCTAGCAGGCATGCTAGCGTGGTGCCTGGGTGCATATGTTGCCTATCGCAGGCCATGGCAGCACCAGGCGCACCATCGCAAGCAATAGGTGCTGCGTGCGTGCGTGCTTGGCTTGGCAGCACCATCGCAAGCACCAAGTGCTAGCATGGTTGGCAGCCTGGCAATGACGTGCCATGTGCGTGTGCTTGAGTGCTAGCCTTCGCATGGCAGCACTAAGCATCGCAGCACATGCGAGGGGCTGCGCGCCAGCTCGATGCTAGGCCTGGCACTCGCAGCCTCGCACAAGCAGCCTTGCATCACAGGCGCATTGATGCGTGTGGGCTGGCAGTGCGTGGTGCGTGGCGCATGGCTGGTGCGTATGTGTGCAATGCCTGGCTAGGTGCTAGGTAGCAGCACCACGCATGCATGTGCGTGTGCGTGTGTGCATGCCTCGCATCAAGCACAAGCAGTGCTAGGCACTGGCTAGTGCTAGCGTAAGCATGGTGCCAGTGCGTGTGTGCAATGGGGTAAGCGAATGGTGCGCAGGGCAGTGCGACCAGCATGCGTGGCTCGCTAGCAGCACGCATGCTGGCTGTGCTAGCAATGAGGCGCGAAGAGTGTGCGAATGTGTGCGTGGGGCTGCTGGGGGCTAGTGCCAGCACTAGGTGCTAGCAGCGCCCAGCGCCAGCACATAGCACCAGCACAGCCCAGCAGCAGCGTGCACTGGCTGGCTGGCTGGGTGCTGGGCAGCAAGGCACGCTAGCTGGCAGCCCCAGCTGGCACACTAGCTGGCAGCCAGCTAGCACACCTTGACCCGATTTTGGGCATGGTGTGTGGGGACCAATACATGGCCTTGGGGATCAAGGCAATGGTCCCCCAAGCCTTGGTCCTCACTTGACTTTTTCTATAATTGTGCCAAGTGTCGATTTGTGATTGAGTTGATTAATTATTTAATTTTGGAATTAAATAATTGTCATTTTACCAACTCTCCCACATTGATGGGAGATTGGAAATCAAGGGATCATTTCCCTATAAATACCAAGCTTGGTATTGGGATTTGAGATAACCTTGAGTGGAATTAAAAAGGCAACTCTAAGAAAAGAGTAAACCTTTGATTCGTAAAACTCATAGTTATTTTTGTCCGGGTCTTGACTAACCTTCAAGACTTAGGACGCTTGGGTCGGGTCGAGGGTACGATCCGTCGGAGATCTCGTCTTTTCGGGATTTTGAAGTAAGAGCTCTTTGGGAGCGAAGCACGCGTCAAAGGTATAATTCTTGTCCTTAATCTTGTTTGATTAAGTTTATTATGCTTGTTTAATTGCTTTAATTAAGGGGCGGGTCTTGGTGGGTTTCCTTCCGCGTAGTGTCGGGTCACTACGAAACCCTACACTTGCCGTGCCACAGCATCTCCATCGCGCCGCAGCAGCTAATGATTGTTGCGCGTGTGCTTGCGTTTATGCTGCTGCTGTTCCTGCTTGGTGCGATGCGCTTGTGCAAGGGGCTAATTAGCTTCTAACTTGATTCTTATGCTCTAACTTCCCGGACCAATTTTGCTGACTTCCAATGCTCGTGTTGGGCTTCCTTCCCGACATTTGAGCCTCGAAAAATCCCGCCACACCTACAAAACAAGTCAAAAAAAACGGAAAGCGAGAGAATAACCAAGAAATGCGTAAAATGATAGGAAAACCATTAAAAGCACGCATATCTCTAAACTCACACATAAGCACGCAAAGCAAGAATTATTTCATAAAAACACAACTAAAAGGCTAAGAAACGAGCATAAACTAAAGAAGAAATCTACACTATGAGTACCATGAATGACACTCATCACATGGGGTACCCACGAATATCATTTCGGATAGAGCTTCAAGATTCCTGTCTAACCTTTGGCAAAGTTTGGAAAAGGCGATGGGAACGAAGCTGCTAATGAGCACAACATTTTATCCTGCGACAGATGGTCAAATTGGGAGAACAATTTAGACATTAGAAGATATGTTGAGAGCATGTGTGATAGAGTATCAAGGGTCTTGGGAAGATCACTTGGATTTGATCGAGTTTTCCTACAATAACAATTATCATGCAAGCATTGGAATGGCACCGTTTGAAGCTCTATATGGTCACAAGTGTGGAAGCCTAGTTTGTTGGAATGATACAAGTGAGACAATGGTACTCGGGCCTGAGATGATTAAGGATATGGTAAAACAAGTAAAGTTGATCCAAGAGAAGATAAAGGCAGCCCAAGATCGACAGAAAAGTTAAGCTGATTTGAAAAGAAGAGATGAGGAGTATGAAGTGGGAGAGAAAGTGTTGTTGAAGATTTCACCCATGAAAGGGGTAATGAGGTTTGGGAAGACAAGGAAGTTAATCCCAAAGTACATAGGGCCATACGAGATCATTCAAAAAGTGGGAAAAGTGGCATATAAGTTAGATTTGCCAAAGGAGTTGGAAAGGGTTCACAACGTGTTCCATGTGAGTCAAATTCGAGAGTATGTACCTGATGTGACACATGTGTTACAACCGGAAACCATTGAGATGGATGATAATTTGACCTATGAGGAAAGACTAGTGAAAATTTTGGATACTAAAGTGAGAAGCACAAGGAACAAGGATGTGAGAATTGTGAAAGTGTTATGGTTGAACCATAAAACCGAGGAGGCTACATGGGAAGCTGAGGTTGATATGAGGAAACGTTACCCAGAACTACTTGACTAAGGTTAGTGGTCGAGTTATGGGGGTGTAACTCCTTTTAAGGGGGGATAGAGGCGATAGAGTTTCGAGCGTTTGCGTTTCGAGTCATTTTTTAGTGTTTTTTAGTCTTTCTTGAGTTAGTTACAGTCTTCAGTCGAGTTAGGATGTGCATGAACCAAAAACTTAAAATAATTTGAGATGATTTTCGTATCTCTTTTGGCTAAATTTCGAGATGAAACTTCTTTTAAGGGGGGTAGGTTGTAATACCCTGTATTTTTGAAACGTATTTTCTAATTAATTAATTAATTAATATTTTCTAAAGAGGGTATTTTAGTAATTTATTTTACTATTTGAAATTTTGGAGCCAAAATGATATTTGAATTTTGGCGCCAAAAGCATTTTAAAACTTAATTATTATTTTTGGATTTTGGATAAGATGTATTATCCATTTATTTTACGGATTTTTCACCATATACCACTGAGTTAATGCGTAATTCACCATATACCACACGAAACGTTCTAATACACCAAATACCACTCAGTTAATGTACATTAACACAAAATGCCTTTTTTGGTAACTGTCGTTAGTCTGCCGTTTGGGGTAATTTACTAATTCATCATATACCATTATTTTATAAGTTATTTCACCATATACCATTTGTTTAAAGTTATTTCACAATATACCCATATTTTTACAAAGGTTTGTGTTTTAAAAAAAAACTAGTCGTTGAACAGTTATAACGGCTAGTTTGTTTATATAAATGTATTACTTTAGTGATTCACGTACCAAGTCACACTTCTAAAAGCATTTGCAAAGATGTCCACACACTCGATAACATCATCGTCGTCGTCATCTTTCGGTTCTTCGTACGTAAGAGTTCCAAACAAAGCTTGTTCTTGTGGTAGGAAGTTTGCAATAAGGAGCCCTGATTTGGTAAAAAATTCACAAAGGTTGTTCTATAAGTGTGATGTATGTGAGACATTCAGGTGGTGCAAGGGTAATGTGGAGAAAAATGTCCCGTCGGGTTATGAAAATCAAAGCAGGGGAGGGATAGACACGCATTGAGGTGAGATCTTGTTGAAGCAAGAGTTGAAGGAGCTCAAGAGAAGAGTAGCAAAGCAGCAAAAGATAGTAAATGCGGCAATAAATATAGGAGTAATTATGTTTATGGTTATTGTATATGTAGCCTTGAAATGATTAATGTAAACAAAATCCCTGCGTTCAAATCTTTGGTTGTAAATGACCCTGACACCATGCTTGCATGGTATCCCTGATCCTTGCCATTTCCCACACCCACAGGTCATATTCCCAAGTGTGACAGGGAACTTGACATGGCCATCCCTGACTTTAAATTCTCCACCACCAAAACCTAGGCTCATCACTCCTTGGCTCCAAAACCACTTTAGCATACTCTGTCAGCTCATTAGGTTCCATATCAATTGCTTTATCAAACCTATAACCTATGTAAAATTACCCTAAAGTACTACATTTATATACACAAACTAGCCGTTGTAACTGTTCAACGGCTAGTTTTTTTTTTTAAACACAAACCTTTGTAAAATTATGGGTATATTGTGAAATAACTTTAAACAAATGGTATATGGTGAAATAACTTATAAAATAATGGTATATGGTGAATTAGTAAATTACCCAAACGGCTGACTAACGGCAGTTACCAAAAAAGGCATGTGTTAATGTACATTAACTGAGTGGTATTTGGTATATTAGAAAGTTTCATGTGGTATATGGTGAATTACGCATTAACTCAGTGGTATATGGTGAAAAATCCGTTTATTTTATTTTAAAAACCGGATTTTATATATAAATTTTGAATATTTTAATTAAGCAAAATTATATTTTATTATTTAATTAAAAGAGCCGAATTTCCTAATTAATTAACTAGGAATTTTTGGATTTTCTTGGTAAAGACAATTTGATTTTCTTAGTGAAATTAGTGAATAATTGGTATTTTCCTAATTAATTATTTTATACAAAATGTATTATTTGCACAATCATTTTTAATCCTTAAAATCTAGAAAAATGATGGCTAAATACTAAGAGAAGATCCCATAATATGAACTTAAGAAAGCTCAAATTTTCGGCCACCACGTTGTATTTTTGAGCAAATTATTTTGGTAATTTTTGTATTTTAATTATCTTCCGCAATTCTTACTATTTTCCTTAATTCTTATTTCCCATCTCATAAAGATTTAGCCATCTTATTTATTTACCTTAAACCATTCTTGATTATTCCCCAAACAAAGCTATTTTCCATATTATTTTTCATGACAACATACTTTCCATTATTAATTATTCCTTAATCACCATTAAACTAAACTTTCCTTAATCCTTAGCTCACCTTTCCAAGTAATTCCTTAAACCAAATTTGCCATAATTCTTCCTACATTTTCCTACCATAATTCTTGCATGAGCTAGCCTAAAAATACCCCTTGAATCATAGCTTAAAACTCACACCAAAATTCTCTTTTTTCTCTCTAATTTCACTCTAATTCTCTCCTCTCTTTTTCTCACTTCCTTGCACTAACCACCACCACAAAACACCTCCCACACCGACTGCAGCCAGTCCTCGACGCAAGCCACCCCTCCCACCGGCAGCAGCCACTTTTCGGTAGGGGTGAGCACGGATCGGATATCCGTATCCGAAAAATCAGATATTTGATATCCGTATCCGATCCGAAATTTTCGGATTTTCCAGATATTCGGATATCCGAAATTTTTGGATATCCAATATCCGACCCATCTAATAATATGGGTTTTATCCAAAATTTTAAAAAAATTAAAAAAAAAAAAAAAAACTAAATCGAGGAATAATTTAATAAATAATTCAACTAGAAAATTCAATCAAAAAAACCTCGAACAAATGAATAATCACATTACTCACTTACCTATTGTCCGATTATCAAAATCCCCAAAAACATTTCACAAATTCAAAACATTAAACAACCAAAATTATGAACATGAAAACATTAAACCATCATTTTACATTCAAATTTAAAAAAAAAATATTTAAGGTAAGAGAGAGAAGTACAATCGCCATTCAAATTAAAGATTTGAAGAGGATCGGAAGAAATCATGGATAAAGTAAGAGGTCTTCTGGAATTTTGAGTAAAAATTTGCGATTGTGGTGATGAAAATGGGGGTTTGTTCTTTCTTATTCCTTCGTATTCATCTAGTTCTTCTTCTTTTTCTTCGATCTATGCCATTTTCAGAGGAGAGAGAGCTCGAAAATTGCCGATAATGGCGGCGTACTATACAGAGCAGAAGACGAAGAGGGAGATATGAGATGAGAGAGGTGGGAGGAGATCTGAGATGAGGGAGGAGGGAGGTCTGAGAATCTGAGATGAGAGAGGAGGGGGGAAGGAGAAAATAGAGGAGAAAGACTCTTGAAGAGAAAGAGGCGGATTACGGGTATCCTTATCCGAATTTTTGTAAAATCATGTTTTACTTTTTTTTTTTACTTTTTTTTTTTTTGTAAAAAAAGCGTTATTTTCGGATTTCAGATCGGAAACCCGATCCGATATCCGATATCCGACTTTTTTTCGGATATTCGGATATCGAAATCGAAATTTTCGATATCCGATATCCGAAATTTTCGGATCAGACATCCGATCCGAAAATGTTTTCGGATCGGTTATCCTAAATTTTCGGATCGGATGCAGATAGGAATTTCGGATTTTCGGATTATCAGATAGTTTTGCTCAGCCCTACTTTTCGGTGAGCCCTGCGGCCTTGTCGTGCCTCTCCTTCCTCCTCTTCCTTGGTTTTCTATATCTTCTTCTCTTCTTCTAATTAATTCTATTATTATTATTATATGGGGGTTTTATAAAAAATTTATTATGAGTGTTTTTAATTAAATAAAATCATTTTATTATTCAAGTTTATGAAAAAGAATTTTATAAGGTTCATGTACATATAGTTGGAGGTTTTATTTTAATTGTTGTGATTATTTGATGACCTTATATTGACTAAGGTTATATTTAATTGTAGGGTGTGTTTGACAAGAGTTCTTGAGGTTCCTTTCTGTGTGTTGCTAAGGCAAGGATCAACGTACGTTTAGGTGGCTAGATACCTTCGAAATTGATTGAATGAATAAGCATGTTTGTGTGATTTTAATTAAATTGATTTGAATTATGATTTAATAAATAAAGTATGTTTTAAAGAAATTAGTTTTAACAAATAAATTGAAGGATTGATTTTCACATCATGTTTTGAATAATTGAATAATTTATCATGTTTTTAAAAGGTTTGATTTTGAAAGCATGTTGAATTAAATAAAAAGGGATTTTGAACTGTTTTATTATAAAGATTGGAATTATTGATTTAAAGAGGATTTATTGAATTATTTAATAAAAGCTTTACAAGCATGATTATTATATTAATCCCACTATGCGGATTCATTGAAGACTATGGACTTTGTATGACCTAGTCTTTCCTCAAGGATAGCCTTTCAACATAAAGATACTAGCTTGGGGGTGTGCACCTTAGAGAGGAACTGGGTTTTTGAAAAGAATTGATTTTAATAATCATTATTATTGAATTATTGAGTTATTGGAATTATTTTTGAGAATCTTGAGAATTGGTTTTGAACCATGAGTTTGGAATTATAGAATTAATTATTGGAATTGGTTTTAAAATCATGTTTGCTAATACATTGAATTTCCTTATCTTGCACTTATCATACTTAGCAGATTTTTCTAATCCGTATTTCCTATTTGTTTTGGTTCGCCCTGTTTACCTTAATGGTAAACAATGTTAACTAATTTCAGGTGGAGCCAATAAATGAGCATTTGGGAGTCCCGGGATATTCTTCACCTAATTTAGGAATGTTGGTCGTTGTTTCTATTTTTTAGTACACATAATGGTTACTATTTATATTAAGTATTAATAAAGAAAGAGTTTGAGATTCCGCTGCGAAGTTTTGGTTTTAATTAGTAGTTTGAGTAGCCTTGCGTAATCACGTGGCGATAATACGCCTACGGTATAATTGTACGTATTATACTGG